TCACTGTCTCAGCACACCCCGGGGGCCGGGCTGGCGCAGCAGGCCTGAGGATGTAAACCCCCATCCCCTGCATCTGCCTAAGCAGGAGCTTTAATCCACTGAGCTATTTGGCCAGCTCTATTTTTATTTATGTATTTATTTATGTATTTATGTATTTATGTATTTATTTATTTATTTATTTAACTAGCTTGCTCAAACAATTAAAACTTTCCAGAAACTCAAAGAAATGAGGTATTCCGTGTTGAGTCCATGAATTTTGAGAGCAGCCACAAAGGAAAACCACGGCAAAGAACAAGCAGAAATTTTTCAGACTTTTGCTAATAAAAGTTGAGTTCATCTTTGTCTATTGCAATAAGTTTGACCCTTGCTGAGCAACGTCTTCCTTGGCATTCCTACAAATGTCCAGTGCCATTCGCTGTTTATGTATTTTAGTAAGTTGTTTCTGTCATTACTTAATTCCTATGGCTCCAAAATGTTTTGTTATATGGAAAATTTTAGAAGGAATAAATATGACTTGTGGTTTCCCTCTCAGAATAGTTTAAGACTGTTCATACTTCCTTCAGAAAATATCATCTGATTCATGTCTGTGTCAAATATTTCCTTGTTTCTTTCCTACATTGGTTAGACATGCTCAGTCGTCTCTGCAGTCAGCTCTTCTTTTATGTGATCCATAAATATTATTCTCCCTAAAGATTCTGTCCTATGCCATTTTATATTTTTATTTTCTTTTTTCTTCCTGGATGACAACCTTCATCAGCTATGAATATTTCAGTATCTCCAAAATACGTATTGTACTTTTGAATATAATAGGATCTTATCTGATCCAAAAAGGAACAACTGAAACAAGTAACAATTCCCTTTTCCGTGGAACATTGTATTTATTTGGTTTATTTGGTCATTTATTTGGTTTCTAGGTTTCCTCATTCCCCTGGATTGATACTTAGATTTTCCCCTGGGGTTTTCCCGTACCCTCGATCAGGCCTTAGTTTTCTGACCTATTCCTTCTCTCTCCACACTCACTCTTCCGCAGACCTCAACGCAACTCAGATTTTCAAATATTACATATCAGACTAATAAAGTCAAATTCATTATTTCCAGTATGGACTTCACCTTTGAACTCTAAATTGGTACCTCTTGGTCTTCAAAACATGTACACTTCGCTAACTTAGAGAAGAAACATCTTAAAGTAACAAAATACATAAAATTGCAGCCAAATAAATTTTGTGGTTAAAAGCAAGCTATATGTTTAATGTATTCACTTCTCTTTGCTGGCAGTGGGAAAACCAACGGACATATTTGAGCATTGAAATTATAAAAACAGGATATAAGAAATTTCATCTTGCCTGTTGTCTGTCATTAATTCATTTCTGGCTGACATTGAAAAATCTGGAAGCATAGTCTTCTGTCACCAAGAGGTAGAAAAGATGTAGTCATTTTCAGAGAAGGTGATTAGTACTCTGCGTTACACATGTACTGAGGCGTTGTGGTGTGTGAAGCAAGATTAGAGAACAAAATGCACGATGGAGTCATCCACTAAGCTGAGCTGTGAACTAGATTTACTGGATAGCCAACCACACAACAGTAAAGCCCTTCTGGATATGTCTGCTTTGATCTTGGACATGTGGTCTTGGGGTCTGTATGTGGGTCTCCTAGAAACTTTTCACAGCCCAAATCTATTACTGTGGATTAGATCTTGATTCTCTTTTTATACACATTGTTGTTTTCCTAAATCTGTTCAGTAACTTCAACACAAATGATACCACTCTATCAGCTGTGTTTATAAATGTACTTACCATGTCAGACATTTGTAGAAATAAGTGTATACAAGAGCAAGAGATGTGAGAAATTTTTAAAGGCTTAGAAATAGATTATGTTATAAATGTGATACTCTAAATACATGTAGCTGTGTTAAATGCACAATAATAGTATACAATTTTATACTTTTAATTTGTAATATTTTGCATGTTTCAGAAAGTTAGAATAAATTATAGTGAATGTTTTACATAAAAATAATGTTTGTTTCCACAGATATTTTTAACCTGATTAAAACATTACTATATGCACAAAAGCACTAAAACATATATAGTACCATTAGTAGGTATAATTAAAAATAGTTTTACACAACAGTTAAAAGTAAGTGAATTTATCTTGAAAGTTTTAATTAAATTTCCCAAAAACAGACATTCCTTGATAAGTGGTGTACCTATTTAAGGATTATTTAAGGACTTGGCAGAGAGGTGAGATTTTTAGTTTCAAGACCACCACTCAGATTAATAACTTGTCTTGGTTTTTTCATTTTTCTTTTCTTTTCATTCCTTTTTTTTTTTGCTATAGTTCCATATAGCTTTTTTATAGCACATCAATATCTTTTTTTTTTTTTGCACAGTAAGTATACTTAATTTATGTGGTACTGTAACTTTTGCTGATTGTTTTGTAGAGTTGCTACAATTTTATATTCTGTTATACATTAGAGTACTGAATGTAAGTGCTAGGCAAATGAAAGCAAAGTCCTCACACTGGATTTGCCTTTGTCCACCTATTTGTTCTGAATATTGCAGTGTATATAACATGTACAATTCCTCATTTTCTGACCTTGATGTTAGTTCAGAACTTGGTTGTCCAATGACAAATAACTGTATGTGGCTTTGTGTTGTAATTGTAATCACTGTCATTGTAACAATATATTTTACTTTTAGTCCAAAACTTTAACATATATTTGTTAGAAAATTAATCGTTTCAAATTCATTAAGATTATGAGAATACTAGTTTACTTCAAGTACAATTTATGAGGTTTCTATGAATTAATTTTTAATATTTCCTTAATATATTTATCTATGTGCCCAATAAATCAGAAATTTGTGCAATGTTTGAAAACTCAGATATATCAGCTGTGAAGGTTTTAATATTGTAACACAGTTCGAAGCAATAGATAAGCCGAGTTTCCTTAGGAGTCATGTTTTACAGATCATTCTAAACAAATTTTAATTATTTGTGACATTTTCATGCATTTAATAAAGTATCAACAGGGTCTCACTATATATATTGGGCTAGCAGTGATTCTCCTGTTTTCAGCCTCTCAAACACTGGGATTACAGGCATGCACCACCACACTCAGCCTTATTTGTGACCTTTACTATCCTATACTACGTGCTCTTATACGTCTACATTATTTCAGTTTTTAATCAAGGAACAGTAGTGGAAGGTCTCTTTAAGTTTTAGTCATGCATTTTACCTTCACAAAACGAATGGGCTCTTGCCAATTGAAATGGAATAGTTTAAATTTTTCAAGTAATTTTCATATTTAAGACAATTCTTATTTTCAAAATTGTTTTTAAAAATTTAGAGACAAGATTTGAGAATTATGTAAATAGTAGAATGTGTCAAGTTTAAACTGGTTAACATTCACAGGCCCTTATTAGAATCATTGATAACTTCAAATGTACTATAATTGTATAACCAATTAAGAGAAGCCTATATTTTTATAGTCTCCCTACCTTTTTAGAAAATTGAAAATATTGCAAAATTTTGGCTTCTAATATTTATTGGTTGAGAAAAATGGTTTTTGCTTTTGTAGATTCAAATAACCTACAGCTAGTTTCAGTGATAAATTTAAGTATATTTAAAATGCATTATGAATCAATTATAAAAGTTTGGATACTAGTGGTCACATTAGAAAACAAGACATGCTATTTAATAGGATTCTGTGATATGTAGAGAATATTAGGAATTAGATAATGTACTGAAGCTGAGAGAGTAGCTTGAAAACAGCAAATTAATTTTAGATTCATACTATTTATTTATTTATTTATTTATTTGGTACAGGGTCTCTTTGTGTAGCTCAGTCTCATGGTGGTCCTCCTGTCTGGGCTTCCCCATCACTGGGGTTAGAGGTGTATACCACCATGCCCAGCTTCAGTGCCAGCACAGGGGCATGGTGTTACTGGGAAGATGAAACCTGGGTCCTTATGATTGCTGGCAGGTGCTTAGACCACTGAGTGTCTCCCCAGCACCTCAGTTTCATATCTTAAAAATAATAACATGAGGGGTAGGGGAGATGGCTCAGTGGAATAAGTGCTTTCCTACAAGCGCAAGAGCCTGAGTTCAATCCCCGGTTCCGCAAAAAAAAAAAAAAAATAATAATAATAATAATAATAACAACATGAGCTCTAGGCAGAGAAAGTGAGATAAATGATGAAACAAGGACAATGTACTTCAAAATGAGTGTCAATATTTTATCAATCAAATTCTAATATGTATAGCTGAAATTTTTAAATTTCAGGACTTTGACTTTGAAAGTAGTAAACTTAAAATTTATATCCTATTTAATTTAAAAGTGTATATTATCATGAAACATCATAAAGCATGTTATTATATTTGTTAATATTCCAAAATGAGATAAATAGCATTACACATATTAATTCACAGGGGGCCTGCTGGTTAGCTCAATTGTTTAAGCACCTGTTCATGCAAATGCAGTCAGGCACAGGGGACTTTGGTTTGATCCCCAGCTCCACATGCCTTCCCACACCTGCTGTTAAGGCAGTCTGAGCCACCAAAAACAAACAAACAAACAAACAAACAATCCTTCTCAATTTAGGGCCAGCCAAATAACTCAGCAGATTAAAGCACCTGCTTAGGCACGCACAAGGGCCAGGAGTTCGACTCCCAGCATGCCATGCTGGTCCTGGCCCAGGGGCACACTGAGAAGGCAATTGAGACTAGGCATGGTGGTTTGTGACTGTCATCCCAGCACTTGTGAGACTGTAAACAGGAGGATCACTATGAGTCCCATCTACCCAATGAGACCCTGTACACCCTGTCCTAAATTTAAAAAAAAAAATCACAACTCTTATGTCAATTATGATGTTTATTTAATTACATATAATCCCACAGAATAAAATACAGATGTTATGCATTATGCTATATGTTATAAGTCTATAACATGTAATTTGTGAAAGAATTCTATATCGCTCAAACTTTGGTAATTTATTATTTCTTACCTGGCCATTCTCTGCATTTTCACAGACATAAGTCTCATAGTATTGGGAGAACTCGGGAGCATGATCATTAATATTGAGCACTTGTACATACACTGGGATGGAAGAGATCTGTCGTACATTGTCTGAAAATTGAATAGAAAATAATCTGTCTTTAAAATAATCGAAACTTGCCTTCAGGGCTATGTGGCATATTTCTATTTTACTTGTGATAAGCTGAGGAGAGAACACATTGCCCTCATTTATTAACAGTGTGGCATTGAAAAACCCCTTGTTTAGTATGTTTGACTCAAGAATAGTTCAGCTTCATACACCTGCATGAACTGAAAGTAGTCGGAAAAAATAGATCTCAATAGAAACACAAACTACTTGGGGTACTCTGGGAACTGCTAAAGTATTTCTGTTAGTTCAGTTTACTTCTGATCAACAGAGGCACATTTGCCCCAACAACTATACTGGATAATAGCACTGATAAACCATGTATATTAATATTAAATATCATGTATATTAATATATTAACTATCATGACCAAATTCATGGCCTAAGCCTAAATAGCTGTTTAAGAAGTTAGTCCCTAGTACTCTGAGCCATTAAAACTTTTAGAGTTAGTTTTTAAAAATGAAAATGAGTATAGAATATGATAAATCTTTTGAAACAAGTTTTGTTTATACTCCATACTAATACAATAGATCATCTCTTGCTGGAAATCGACATTAAGTTACATGTTGCAAATATTTCCCATTATTGATCACGTGCACCAAATGTTTCTGAAATAGTTTTTTGTATTGTCTTCTTTACCTCTGGTTACATGGCTTGCTTTCAGTGCTTTTAAGACTAAAATGCTTGAATGTATGATTTTGGTACTGATATCATGATTGGAAAGCAGTGGCATTCATACATATATTCTAAAGAGATCTAAAGTAGGCTTAATGATATGGATTGTAAAGAAACTCTAATGACAAAGAATTAGTCAGATACTGTTATGATATGTGTCCAGCTGTCACGGAAAAGCCTCATGCAGTGGGGATAGCCCTGGACAGATAGCCTGAATACAACACAAGGAAGGGAGACAGGGTTGCTAGCTGGTGCAGCTGCTGCTCTTCCCTTTGTTCTTTGCTGTTTAACACGGCAATGAACTGCTACAATCTGCCATGTATCACTGTGCCTTGGAGCTGGCTCAGCATGGACCGAATCCTCTTCTAACTGTGAGCTAAATGAACTGTTCCTCCCTTAATTTGGGTGTTGGGTATTCTGTCCCAGGAACACAAGAAAAGCAACCAAAACACCTACTTTTATTAAAGCTCTCTCTAATTGACTTTTCCTTATAATGGAAAAAAAAGACATAGCAGAAAAAGTAACTTTAGAGTTAAGAGGAGAAGATATCTTATAACTCAGAGATTTGGATTGTTCTTGTTTGATATTACCGCACTAAAATGTTCTTTCTCTGCTCAGTTAAGAAAAATGCAATAAACAATTTCAATAATTTTCTTCTAGAGATCTTCTCATAGAGTACCATTCCTCTGCTTAAAGGACTATCCCACTACTGATACAAATAAATTATCTAACACATTTTGTCTTATTTGTTCATCTCTTCTTTTATTCATAGAAGATCAGAGGGTTTTTAGATCTCAAAGTATATTATAAATTGTAAAGATTTCAATTTCTAACAGTTGACATTGTTGTGCATCTAATTTAAGAAACTCAATAATGTCTTTTTTACAAAAATATCTCCTAATTTGTACACTTAAAATGGAGTAGTAATTTTGCAAATTCAATAAAATGTAATGTTCTAATAGCTGAAAGCTATTTTATAGAGGAATATGTATTTATTTTTTCAAATACATCCACTCTTCCCTTGAACTGACTTGAATCATTTTTCACAAGAGCTTTGTAAAGAGTGACATTATAAATAATTTGTTCTTAGAAATACACAATAAATAAAAGGCTCTTGCTCTTAGAATAAGCATCTTTGTGTTTTCTGACACAAAAGACTTGGCATCTTTTTTCTGTTGCAGCAGGTATTTTCCATGGGCCCCATGGTCTCCATCCTTTATTATATAGTTAGGTAATTAAAAATCTAGACTTATGGGCCCTGCTGTGTTTCCACAGAGCTTTGCAATGTATTGGAAAAAACATTTCACCTGCCACCATGTCACCAGGTAACTATTCAGTGCAGTGAGGAATAAGATAGATACTTGCTCAGTGTCTCAAAATAGAAGAAAAGCCAGAAAAATAGAAAATGTGCACAAACCAAGGTATAAGAAAGCATACAGTTTAGAAGAGTTCATATTTAATTCATTATAAATTCTGTTGAATAAATCATGGGATACATTAATAATATTTTATATTGTATAATGATTGTATCTTTAAGTTTTCATTAATATAAGTGATAGACTTACTGATTTGTAATTTCCAGGACAATATAGAAATCATAAATGATGTGATTTCAGTTATCTTTACAATGCCAAGAAGAAATCATCATTCTGTCATTACAACTAACAAACATCCTCTCGTTAGTGATTAAGACTAAGCTATCAGCACAGCTAAAACTACTAGTTTAAATGGAAAAGAATTATTTGTTTTGTATTATACAATCAGTGGATATTGTCCAAATCCTTCATATGCTATACTACAATTATACCAAAAAAATCATTTATTTTAAATCTATACATTTTAAGTGGTCTATTTAGGAGATTAGGTTTTCCTTGATATACAAGATTAAGTCCACTACTTTATTCTAAGACAGAATAAAGCACAGGCATTTTGTTTTGGGCTTCTATAACTGACATTCTAAACTGATTATGATTAAACAAAAGAAATTTAATTTAAATTTAGAATTTCAAATCTCATGTGATTTTATTACTGTTTTCACAATAGTAAATCATATAAACAATAAATCAAAAATTGTCTAAATTGAAATTTCAGAAACAAATGAAATTAGCTTTTTATATTTTCTACATTTGTCACTGTTATTTATGCTGAATAACTTTATAGAAAGTGTAAAAAAATTTCTTCACACAAGTTCATAATTTAAAAAAAAATAAAACCCCTCAAGAGCAAAACAAATGAATCCATTGAGAATATATATTTTAAAAATTCAAAATACATATTTAACTTGTCAGTAGGACAATACATTCATGAGACAGACTGTAAAGACTAATAATGTCATAAAGACTAGGTTTTTTAAATGCATTTGGTACAAAGCTTCACTACACAGCTCAGACTCATAGTGATTCTCCTGTTTTCAGCCTCCCCAGTGCTGGGATTACAGGCAAGAACCACCACGCTCGGTCGTGGTGGCCACTCAGTGTACCCAGAGGCAGGACCAGCACTGCATATGGTGCCAAGAATAGACCCTCAGTCCCTGCATTTGCCTAAGGAAGCACTTAGTCTGCTGAGCTATATTGCCAGCCTATGACTATCTTTTAGAAATGCACATGATTTTATTGTTTTGCATTTTGTGTTTTCTTCCATTTATCTTTTTCATTAAACATTAACTCCTATAATGACAGTTAATATAGTAAAGATAAATTGTTAGTCATCTCTGATACTCCAGATACTAATTTATGATGTAATAAATGAGGCATGTAAATAACATTTCATATGAAATATTCTTTAACTCTAATTTCAACATTTTAAAATAGCCTTGTCCTCTCCCCTAAGGAGTATGTAATGGTTCAAACAATATAGTGAACCTGTGATGTTGTTATCAAGGGAGAGCTTACCTCTTTCTGTGGCTGTGACACTTAGGTTGTACCAAGCACTGATCTCCCGGTCAAGATGGTCAATGTTGACGATGGTCCCATTTTCATGGACACTGAACACTTGGCTTCTGGCAATAGAATATCTGCACAAAAAAGAAGGCATTCCCAAAATGTCATTGCATGGTTTTTATAATACCTGTATATATGTATATGCAATTAATATATATTATTGTATATATCATGCTCTTTTTAAGTAATAGAACAAGTTGTTAAATGCATGATTTACATAGATGTGATACAGAATAATTGCAAAAATCTTGCATTTATGTATATAAGATTCAATTTAGCAAAGAAGAATAAAAAACTAAATTGGCTTTAAATTTCAATTGACTTTTGCTAAATCTGAACACACAGTTATGACCTACTCATTTCCTTTTCCACAAAAGGAATTTAATTGGTGAATGTCTTGGTAGAAAGAAATGGCTAAAAGTCTTTTGCAATGTGAAATACAAACTATTAATGATAAAATGAATTATTGCCAATAGAAAGCTTATTTTTTGCATAACTGCCAGGGGTCTTTCCTAAAGCTTTGCTATGCATTGCCTTACAATTACTTGAGTTTTTTTAAAAAAGAGAATAAAAAACATAGTTAAAAACCATTAGAACCATGATACAAAATTTCACTAAACAAAAATTACAGGAATTTAATAATGGCTGTTATATTGCATATTTTAGTTTCAAATTTGTTGCTCAGATTGCCAGATATAATCATACCAAATTGGTCAAAAACTGATAAAAAAATTTAAAAAAGATGGAGGAAACAAATAAAAAAGCATTAACTGCTCCTTTCAATAGACCAGACTTGGTTTTTGACAAATAAGATATGTGGCATTTGTTTGTATAAATAGAATAATGAGATACTACTTGATAAAAGTAAGGTACACTTATGTAACAGATTGACTTTAATTCTTCCAGAAAGTATGTATTATTTTAGATGGCAGAAATACTTTAGATCTATTATCCTTTATTTTTGTATATACATATTGTTTTTTATGTATAATGCACCATGCATGGAACAAAGCCAGCTCACCAAATTCCTTCCTGCAAAAGTCTGAAAAATCATCTCAAATCTTCAATAAAAGAAGACTTTGAAGTGCCCAGCATGTTTCATCAGCTTGCAAATGATTAATAATAAAAATTAAAGAAGTATAATAAGTAGACTTCAGTGACGGCTTCTTTCAAATAGACTCCTGAAGACTTTCATGAGACATCAATGAGATTTTCCATAATTATGTGCCAAGATGAGAATATTTTAATATTGAATCGACATGTTTCTAAAAATATTAGACTTCATTGTAGCATGGTGTTCAAGAGAGTATTAAAATAGAATGAAATTTTGATGGAGTTCACGTTTAAATATATTTTAAACATTAGAAACATTTTACTTAAATATCCACAAGTGGTCACGTTTCCCACTGAATAATTTTGTTAGCAAAAATTAAAGAATATTTTTAGCAGTTGCTACTTTGTATTAAAATTTGAATCTTGTTTCATGAAACACAATTACAAAGAAAGCCTATTACAGCTTGAAAAAAGGTTGAAGTTTCTCATATTTTAATGAAAATAGGTTATAAATTAGGAAGAACAAAAGTAACAAGTCTGGGCCTTGATATTAAAAGAATAATCAAAACAGATGTAGACCTAGAGGCTCTTTGCGTGATAATGGCAAGGATATGCAACGTGCATTATTTTCCTCAATCCCTTCAAGAGCCAAACATTTTAGTTATGCAAATATTTCCCCTCACTCTATATTTACTAGCTGAATATTCTTGGCTTTAAGTTGTAGTTAGTTAACTTACATTGTACTAAATTATAGTTGTATTTTCCCTACACTTAAGGTTTTTAATATTAGGCAATGGACATGAGGAATCTCCTCAGAAACATTTTTCCATTTTATTTATTTTTATTCATTTTAATGAAAAACAATAGTGATGAAACAGTTTCAAAAGAGGTTAGCAGGACGTTTACAATAATTAATACATTGCATACTGTTGTCTTCATAGTGGTTATTCAGAAGACAGGATGCAGACATGATATCTTGTCTGAACAATGTTAGTACAAAATTGTATTCTCAATGAACTAAGAGAAATTAGCTGTATATCTATCCTAACTATCCTGTGTATACATTTTATATATTTTTTATTTTCCTTCCCCCTTTTTTTCACAACAAAACTGTCCTTTATTTACACTTTGGTGAAGTTAGTAACACAGGACACTATGTTGCTTAGCAACTGATAGCAAACCTTAACCAGACAGTATGTTCATCTCAGGAGAGAGGCAAATTGTTTGCTTTAGGCACTGGGTCAGGCCCAACCTACATATATTAGATCGATTTCCTAACTTCATGGCTCCCAACATATCCCCCTTTTTCATTTTTTTTTCAGAGATAGGTGTTCCACTGCAGTTAGAGACACTGTACTTGGAGAAATATTTAAAGGACCTTTTCTTACTTAAAACCAGTCTAAAGATTGAAGGTACTTGAATTCAGCAAAATAATCCAATATAGTCCAATAATCCATAATAGTAGGGGGTTATCAGCATAATGGCAATTGTCAGAAGTTGTTGACTTGACCCTTTTATAGCTCAGCATATTAATATGTCATTACTTTTAGTACATCATTGTTAGACTTTTCTTCTGGATGGTACAGACCAAGTTAAAGCAATAGCTATACAATTAAAAATGTAACTTTTGTATCTGACAAGGTCAGTCAAATCCCGTCAGGATTTACGCTGGAACCATCCATGGGCAGCACCTTGTAGATCTTTTGTCAGTCAGACACATTTTTCATTAGCAATTTTTTTTACCAACTGAATTAAAAATATTTCAAAACAATTTTAATCATGTATAATTGTTCTAAAATCAATATAACTGGGTAAAGTATATAATCCTCTGACAAAATCCTATATAAAACAATAGTGTTCTCGTAGTTTCAGAGCTAACAAATTAATTGTAATTTTATTAACTACATTGCAGTGTACAGTTGGATTGCACCATCTTGCCACCCCGCTCTTTGCCCTTTGCATGAATAAATCCAGGAGGGCACTCTATGTTGCATTGCCACACCCCCTGAGTCGGCTCCACAATCTCTCAGTGGTCTTCTTCCACATTCTTTCTGCTGGTGACAGTATAGGAGACTGCTGCGTGCTTCTCAATCCATTTTTGTCGTGTGCTTTTCTATGATTTGCTATGATTTGATGAAGAGTGTACATTTTCTTAAAATTTGGTCCGATTTCTATATTTGGTACATTGTTGGTAAGTATGGTGTCTTAAGTGCATTGTAGTAGTGGGGCATCATAATGACATTGTGTTTCTAATTATGGCATTAGCCTTTGTTACTTGATTGAAGTAGTGTCTGTGAGATTTCTTCACGCTAAAATTACTGTCATGTTGTAATTAACAAGAATCTCAGATGTTTTAAAACTACTTGGCTTCTTCCCCAATGCACATATATGAATATTATTCATAGATGAACAAAGACTACAATAATTGCCACTTTGGTATATAAATGATGTTTTCTATTATCATTATCTTTCTATGGCTATAATCACAAAACTATAATTTATGAAAAATACTACATTCCTTTATGTTTCTATATAACCATGAAACATTTTCCATGCATATTTATTTATTTATTTGTGTGTGTGTGTGTGTGTGTGTGTGTGTGTGTGTGTGTGTGGCCAGCTCAGCCCACCAGGGGGCTGGGCTGGCTGGCATGTGGTGCTGGGGGATTGAACCGGTCCCTGTGCTTGTTCTAAGTAGGTGCTTTAGACCACTGAACCATCTCACCAGCCCCTTCCATGCATATTGAGCCAAACATTTTTACTTGTTTGTTGCTTAATATTCACAGTTTGTGACATTTGGAGTAATTACTCACTGCTTCCTGCACCTTTTCAGCACATCCTATTTCTTTCATTATTTTTAAAATTCTTACTTTTGAATCTGTGAGCATTCTTGGAGGTGGTATCTTCCATGCAATAGCTCTTTATTCAACAAATTCTCTAGTGCATTTACTACTCTGAATTATGCAGCAGTATTAGATGGGAATCTCTGTATGTGAAGATTTCCCACTGTCTCTGGAGTTGCACAGATTTTAAACTCCCTAATCAAACATTAGGAGAATATTCAGGTATGGTCTACTTACAACAAATAAATCATGCTAACCTGTATTCATTTTCATAACAAATTTTTGTCTCTGTGATTCTTGTCCTTGGTATCTGTAGATTCAACCAAAACTGGACCATAAGTATTCAGAAAATTGTGTGTGTGTGCTGAACATGTATAAACCTTTCTTCATAATATTATTCTATAAAAATACAGCTTAGCAACTATTTATGTAGCATATGTATTTCCCTTAGTATTGCAAGTTGGACAGAAGTGATTTCCAGTAATAGGTGACTCTCTGCAAACACTCTAGTGAGGAATTTGAGCATCCATAGATTTTGGTATGTGTGAACATCCTGGAAAGAATTTTTCATAATACTGATGCATAAAACTTTATTAAGAAGACATTAGAGTATGATGATTTCTCAGACTAAATCCACTATCATAGTCTCTACCATTCTTCCCGCTTTCCCTTTCCTATCCTATTTTTTGGCAATGGCAAATTTTATTTGCATGTTTCCTTACTTGTTTAACTAGGTTATACATGCCGATTTAAAGCACCAAAATTATTAAACAACAGACATTAAAAAATTTACCTCATGTGTACTGTACACTACTTTGTACAGATGTTTTTAAATAAAATACTGTTTCTGCAATTCTGCTTCCATTACCACATGGCTAACATCCCCTTATTTATTTAGGTCTCCTTACAAGGACATCAAGCTTATTAGATTGAAGATCCACCCTACTCCACTATGACATCATTTAAGAATTTAATTCCTACATCTCCAATTTCCAGGAAGGTTACACATTGAAACACTAAGTGTTAGGATGCAATTCTCATTTTGAGGAGGAAATAGACCAATAAAATCAAGTTTATATTTTTACTTGGCAAATTCCTGAGAGGAGGATATCTACTTCTATTGGTTAGTGTAAAATATTATGAGAATCTTATGTTCTACATTGATGAACTTACATAAT